TGTGTGTGTGTGTGTGTGTGTGTGTGTGTGTGTGTGTGGGAGGACTCACGGTAACGGGCAGTTCTCCAGTGCTGGCACTCAGGGATCTGTTGATGGTGCAGTGGAACAGCTGCTCGTTGTGGAAGGTGATGTCACAGAGATCTGAGCCAATCGTCACAGAGTATTCCTGCAGCGTCAGGTCCAGCTCGCTTGGCCCTTTCTGACACACCAACACACAAACACATGTGGAGCCTGTTACGCTTCATGATGTTAAATACACAGATACTGTATGTGACGGAGGACTCTGTCCAGTATTTCACAGTGGAAATAAAAACCATGTGATTGACAGAACGTCCTGTGATAATTAGCACACTTTGATAGCAAACAAAGAGACACTGTCTTCACGTCTTCATCCTTCCTTCCTTCCCAATTCTTTAGGAGAGAATGAAAAAACTCCCTGGCTCTTCTGCGCCTGTTAGGTACTTCCTTCCTGACCCTCAGAAACTCATAACATCCCGCCACACAGATCTGGACTTCCCCAACACTTGTGTCGTGTGTGTGTGTGTGTGTGTGTGTGCGCATTTTTGTGACAAATGAGGACATAAATTTGTATAATGACAAAGGTATAACATAGGTATTACAAGGAGAAGGTGACTTTTCAGGACATTACCCCATGTCCCCACTTTTCAAAACGCTTATAAATCACACAGAATGGAGTGTATTGAAAATCTGAAATAGCACAAAGTCTCCTGTGAGGGGGAGGTTTAGGGGTAGGGTTGGTGTAGGGCAATAGCATATACGGTCTGTACAGTATAAAAACCATTACGCCTATGGGATGCCCCCACTTTTCACAAAAACAAACCTGTGTGTGTGTGTGTGTGTGAGAGAGAGTGTGTGTGTGTGTGTGTGTGAACAATGGTCAACTACTCTTGTCATGGCAGACCATAGGATAGGTGCGGACTGTTACTATTATTCTCAGCCCTAGTGTATTTATAATCAGCATTCATCATCCGTCTTGTATGGATTTGTTCACTAAACTTTATCTGTGAACCAATAATGGTAAACCATTATTGGTTCACAGATAAAGTTTAGTGAACAAGGAAGACCAACTACATTCCGGAACACAGCGGTGAATCAACGGTGCCGTAAAAGAATAGTTGAGACAAAATTAACATTTGCTGGAAATGGATGTAGGCCAACCAAGATTAGGATGAGTTTGTTTCTTCATCAGATCTGGAGAAATGTAGCATTGCATCAGTGTCTCGGCAATGGATGCTCTGCAGTGAATGGGTGCCGTCAGAATGAGAGTCCAAACAGCTGATAAATACATCACAATAATCCACAAGTAATCCACAGCACTCCAGTCCATCAGTTAACATCTGGAGAAGACACAAGCTGAAACAAATCCAGCTTTAAGACGTCTTTAACTAAAATACCAGTCCATAATCCATAATAACGCTTCCTCCAGTGAAAAAGTGCATCTCCTGTTGTCTCTCACATCAAAATCCAGCCACATATTAGTTTAGAGCTGTTTAAACGCTGCTTGATCTGTGCAGATTTCTCTCCTGATTCACACCAGAACACTTTTTCACTGGAGGAAGCGTTATTATGGATTATGGATTTAAAATCATCTTAATGCTGGATTTGTTTCAGCTTGTGTCTTCTCCAGATGGATGATCGACACACTCACTCACATTGATGATGAGGATGAGAGGCTCTCCGGGATGATGTTTGATGAGTTTCTCTTTGTTGGCCGTATAGAACTGCGGATCCTCCACGTAGTCAAAGTGAAAGGCATCAGCGTGAGGCTCCTCGTCCTCGTCCGGCCCTCGTCCTGATGGAGATGCATCCTCTCCTCTGTACAGCACCTCATTGAGGTAGAAGCGAGCCATGGCCTGCTGGGATTGATTGGCGGCAGGAGACTGACAAATGATCAGAGTAGACGACACATAGGAGCAGCTCTGCGGAAATGACATTTGTATGAACGAGCGCACAGACTGAAATGTCACACACACACACACACACCAGCACTTTGATCTCTATCCTATAAACAAAGCATTATTCATCTCACCGTCTGTCCGACTCCAGACACCTCCATCCTGACAGATTGCACCAGATTGAAGCCATATCCAGTGACCGAGATACTGCGACCACCGCTGCAACACCATCACATCACAATTGCATGTTCAAACAAAGGCTCTGAGTAGTATGCATACTAGCATACAACTGATTCTGCTGCATGTAGGCAGTATTGTGCACAGTATGCAATATGTAAGGGATAATGCACGGCTAGCTGTGCATTAACCGATTTTAATGCATGACGTTGAGGCCAAGAACCACCTGACGTGAAGCGCATTAAAATTGTTTGATGCACAGCTAGCCGTGCATTATCCTGCTTATACCATGGTCATTTGCCAGCACTATCAAGTTAAAGCTGTTAATGATGTTCACAGCACAATATTTGACCGTAAGGGTAAAAATGACAGTTATTTCTGCAATTCTCCAACCTCTCTCTCTCTCTCTCCTGAGAGTGTGTGTGTGTGTGTGTGTGTGTGTGTGTGTGTGTGTTTGTGTGTGAGTGATGTGTGAATATGGAACGGTGATTAAACTGACTTGGAACTACTTGTAGTTAAATTGAGTATTCAGACAGACCGTGGTATAAATGTTTATAAACAGCAGCACTTGACTACTGCTGTCCTGTGTGCATTCAGTACCTGAGGAAGCTTTTGTTGGGTCTGATGTGACTGATAGTAGGGTTTTTCTCATAGGTGAATGTGAAGCTGGGTGAAGCGCTGAGGCACGGCCGGTCGTCATACACCACACACACCGACACATTCTCAGCGACGGCCGGTTTGGCTGGAGGCATCACACACTTGATGACGTCCCTGGAAAGCCTGCAGAAGCATACCACAGACGTGATGAGCAGCAGATGCGTGATATATCAGCGAAACACGACCCACCACGAACACGCGCTCACATGAAGATGGTGCAGTTCTGAGTCTGGTTGATCTCGACGTTGACTGTGGATCCAGCGTCCAGGAACTGGCCGTGGATGGTGAGTCTGGTTCCTCCAGCGAGGGGACCCTGCCGCGGCGTGAACTCCTGCAGTCTGGGCTCCTGTGCCATGGAGGACCGAGAAAAAAATTATTTAAAGTAGGGATGCACGATATTAGATTTTTACCGATATCCAATATGCCGATATTTTTAAAATAATTTTGGCTGATAACCGATGCTGATATATACAAATGTGTATGGATAAATACAAAGTTCTGGCATGAAACTCTAGATGGCGCAGTCCGATAGGTCTAACTCAATCTGACCTAATGACATCATCATCACATGGCACAGCTGATTGGTTCTCTCCTGTATCAGTAGCCAATGAGCTCGCTGCTCAACATTCAAATATATGATTAGTGCTTGCCGTAGCAGTGCAGCTTGCTTCAGAAACCCTCCACCTTCCCCAGTTCCACCTGTATAGATCTGCTATGAGGTGATTCATGTATGCTATATGGGGGTTATTTCATGTATGTTATATTTTCAGCAGCAGTATTTCTTACATGCTCACAGCAGCATGTTGTGGATGTATTAGCAGTAGCAAGTCTCGGTACTTGCTCTGCCGCAGCATTCCGCCAAGACCAAATACATTAACATTGTCATTTACATTACCATGCCAATCCCTCCGAGAGTTGTCATGACAGAAATATATTTCCCTTTGTTTTAAAATAACAGCAAGTCTCTCCTGTGCAGAAACTATAAACAAATTGTTTTTAATTTTGGTTATATATGAGCAAAAATAACTAATAAACATTATTAAAGTTCTTTTTTTTAATGAGAGAACATTGTATATAAGTTTAAATAATCCATTTGAAAAAATATATTACATATTAATGAATAAATCTGTATATAGTATACTGTAAGTGTTATAACTGTATAAGTGTTTGTAATTGTTATTCATGTAAACTACAGGTTCTGGCCTTTAAATCAAAACAGACTCGTGAATTTATGACATTGATACCACTTTGTTTATTCAGAAACAAAAGTCACTATCACACTATCACACCCTGAGCACATGTGAGCAATCGATCTTATCGGCAAGGCATATCAGCATCATTTTTTCAAATTGGCCGATGCAGATGTTTACATTTTAAGCCATTATCGTCCAATTCCGATAAATCGTGCATCCCTACGATAATATCGTGCATCCCTACTTGGTTCAATCACAAACTGTGGTTCATTCCAGTCCGAGATCTGACTAAGCGTCACGCTGGAAAGAGCTGGCAGACCAGCAACAAATCAGCTACTATTTTCCAAAATACAGCTGTTGTGACAGGCTGAAGATCTACCAGCCAAGCAGCTAAAACCAGCAAGGAACAGCTACAAACCCACTGTTACGTTCCACTTCCAGCAGGCTTTAGCTGGATTTTCTATCAGGAAGGCTTTTACTGAATGCTGTAGCATAGCGAGCACATTTCAGTATGTTTTAACCAGCAAGAGCTGTGTTGGTAAAGTCAGAGGGCAGCAGCTTTGATCACATCAAGAACCATAAATGGTTCTGGAAGGTTAGTTTAAACTAGCATGAATGTCAGCGCTGCTACACATGTGAACATATACAGCACACACAGACCACACATGACATCACATCCTGTGGAGGTAGAGGGTCAAGAGGAGCATATTAAAGCATAAGTGTGTGTGAGTGTGTGTTGTTCAGCCAGATGTTTCCTGAGCTCAGCGACTGAAGCGGTGAAAGGTTTGAGGAAGGAGCTTTGGAGGAGTCCACATTCACATTCCTCTTCCTGCCTTTCCTCTTTACCATTTCTGATCCTGTTTTCCAGTCCTGCTCCAGCTCCATTTCACACCAAAACCAGTCTTGGGTAGCCTCAGAGTCTTTAGTGTGTTGGAGAGCCTTGGGTCTGACCCGTTGTGAGTTTCCTCGAGCTGCCAGCTGTGTTTTGGAACATGGTGGCTGGTTTCTTGTTGATGCAACCTAGGAATGAACTGGTTGAAGCTGACTGAATATGCTGGACAAGTAAGAAACCAGCTGTTTTGTAAAAAGGTGGCAGGTTGACCTGCTAAAAACCAGCTACTGTCCAAAAGACAGCTAGCAGTTTAAGCACAATCATCCCCAGGCTGCTCTCAGATCTCTTTAATACATTTGCCATTTTTCCACCAGATTCCTCAGTCCTCAGGGGCGGTGTCTTCATTAGGGCAACAGGGCAATGCACCACCAAATTCATTCAGCGACATTCAGCGACAGCTGTCACTGTTCTAGGCTGTTTGTTGTGCCTCTGGATATATAGTCCAATCAGCGTCGAGTCATGTTGTGGAGTACCATCACTTTTTGGGTGAACTCTCTGGCCGAGAATCACCCGACTGTTCTCATAGACTTCCATACAAAACATTTTTTCGAGCTGCAGGCACTGCAATGCAATCTCTATGAGTTCTGGGAGGGAACGTAACCTTAACTTGTGCAGCGATTGGTGGGAACAAACATACCTCTATTAATAAGAAATATGAAGTCAGGACTAGTCTGTATGGGCTGAATGAAGCAAACCAGTATTTTACCAGTGAAGTTTATATGGATGACGATTGTAATGGAGGTAAAGACGATTACAGTGACACCGCAATCAAACAATATTAGATGCGCAAATACGTTATTATTAATGTGCAAACAAACAGACCATGTATGTGCGCTCTCTGATAGCTTTTTGTATGGGCACATTTCAGTTTGGTTGCATGTCTGGCAAGTGTTTTATAATGGACACTCGCTGAAGAAGTGTGTTTTTATAGGAGTTTGCTATGGTCAGTGGTGTTTATATACATATCAACACTCACTCTGACAGAGGAACTGTTCACTGGTCATTATAAGCTGCCCTCAGATCACCACATTCAACAAATTCAGAATGTTTGGTCCCACTTTATATTAAGTGGCCCTAACACCTGTGTACTTACATAGTAACTAGATGTGTACGCAGTATGTAACCACAGTGTAAGTACACATTGGTACATAGTATCTACAGCTGTAATATTTCTGTAACTACACACATGTAACAACCCTCCGAATGTTTGTGTAAGTAAAAATGTTTAACAGGACATATACAACTACATTTTGTAACAACTATATGTATAAGAGTAATTGGAACAATTTGATCCAGGGGGGTGGAGATGGGTAGGTTTAGGGATATGTAAAGTGGGAGGAGTTGGATCTCAAGTGGGTGGAGTTGGTGCACCACTGTAATACCAGTGTACTCACATGGTAACTGCTCAGGAACTGTCCACTTCATATAAAGTGTAACATTCTGGACACCAACCACAATTTATATGTAAAGCCTAACTTACTGGCCGCTGCTGTGTAACATCAGAGTAATTACATGGTAAATCCATAGGAATTGTTTACTTAATATAAAGTGTAACACTTTCTTTACCAAAAAGTGCTGTTAGTCCTGTTACACATTTGTACTTTCATTACCAAAAAGTGTTGTAACCAATGTCCTGTTACACATTTGTATTTACACATACCATTCAGTGGGTTGTTACATGTGTGTAGTTACTCAAACATTACAGCTATAGATACTATGTACCAATGTGTACTATGTACACATCTAGTTACTATGCAAGTACACAGGTATTAGGGCCACTTAATATAAAGTGGGACCGAATGTTTTTATTTACTTTTTTATTTTGTGTTTTGCTCTGTTTAATAATTCTGAATGGATCCGTATGTTTATATACAGTCAGATTCTGTTGTCTCCGTGTGGTTCTGTTTGGTACTCAGCTTGACTTGCAGTTATAGAAAATTATCTAAATAAATGTGAGATTTATTTTTTTTCCTCAATTTTTTTTGCTGTAGCACTGTATACATAAATTGTGAATTATGGAAATGACTTTTTTTTTAATTGTCTGGACAAATTCTTGCAGAAAATATAATTTTGTGAGAATCATCCTCAAACTTAATCTTGAACTTGGTAAAACAATTATCTTTATTTAAGTCTTAATATTTTTCCTTTTGTTATACTGGAATAAATCATACTGGGATGTATGCTAAAATTGCTGGACGTGGCGCCCCACCTAGAAAATGTTCCTCCAGCCGCCACTGTCCACAGGTTTGCTGCTAAAATCAGCACAAGAAAATCAGTCTGAAGAGTCAGTTTGGATCTGCTCGCTGGTGCCAAATCACACTCTGTTCCTTCACATTAATTTATAAAACAAACCACATGTGCCACCGAATCTCTCAATGCCGTGTGAAAATGACATCGGCCCAGAAACTCCATCAGACAAAACAAAGCAAAGCCCTTCCAAAGTCTTTCCTCTCAATCAGCTGAGTTCATGCAGTCAAGCATGCCGTCATATCACGCAAACATTTGATGAAAGTGTGGAGATCTGTCAGATCTCATGAGAGGCTGGTCTAACACACAGAGAACGGTGTGATGGGAAAATAAATCAGGATGAAGACAAAAGAGTGAATGCAGGAGAGGATCATCAGTCTGAGGGTGTGAAATGGAAATCAACAGCGAACAAAAGCCTTGCACGTACCACAAAGGAGAAGATGTCCTTTGAAACGCCCACAGCGTTCCCGGCCACTCTCACTGTCACATGATCGCTCGTCTGTTCCCACGATGCACCAGTCTCACAAACCAACCTGTAGCGACACACACAAACTGCTGGATCACGAGCCATAAACTCATCTGTCATTTGGTGAAGCTCGGATAATTAGCTGTGTGACGCCCTCAAAAACCATGAATACAATTACAACACAATCCAGATGACACTAAATATGGCTCACCTGCAACAAGGATAAACATAGTTTCTGCCTACATTACAGTTTATGCACAATAAACAGTGTCCAGTGTAAAAACTGAATCACAGATGAACTCTGACATCATGTGAAGCTCAAATCAACATTATATCAGTCTGAACTGTCAATCACATCCAAATGACGCTCTGTGCAGTGATGGATTTGTCATTCAGTGCAGGACGTGGTTAAACATGGTTAACAGCAGGTAGTGTGTGTCTGTAGATATGAAGGGTGTGAGTGTTTGATCTGTGTCTTGTACCTGGCTGAGACAGTGTAGTGTTGTGGCAGTACACTGCAGGGCACATGGCCGATGGAGACGCTGAGCTGAGTGGCGCTGTGTCCGAGGTTCCTGCCCTGCACCGTGAGCAGTGTCCCGCCGGTCAGCGGCCCCGACAGCGGCTCGACCTGCACATCAACACACACTGACTGAGACACCACAGCTAGTCAACTGAGAAAACGCTTACAGGTCTGTCAGTTTCACACAGAAGAGAGCCGAGACACTGCAGGAGTGAGTGGGAAGATCAGCTCATGGTTTATTTTGAAATCCTGGCAGAACAGTTATCATAAACCCAACATGTTTTTATGTTCATCATGGTTTGGGTCATTCAGACTTCAGACTAAACAAATTCACTCATAAACAGTCTGTACACCTAAAACACACTCTCTCCCTCTCTCTCTCTCTCTCTCTCACACACACACACACACACGCACACGCATGCTCACATGTGTTTCTAAAGTGCACTACCGGTCAAAAGACTGGAATAATTAGGATTTTTTTTTTTTTTTTGAAAAAAGTCTCCAAGACTGCATTTATACAATAAAAACAGTAATATTGTGAAACTACAGATATGCAGGGTTAAATGTAAGAGCTGAGAGTGACGCTCAGATCAACAGTGTGTGGGAGTAGTTACATAACGGAAATACGTAATTTAATTACAAAATAAATGTAATGGTCATTAGTTACAGTTACTGAGAATTTTTGAAAATGTTAATTACAAAGGGGGTTACATCTGAAGATTTTCACACACATACACATTTGACTGATTTCTTTCCCAATTTGCATTGACTGCTCTAAAATATGACACACCAATGTTTCAGGAGTTTAGGACACATGCTTTTATAATAACTGTTTTATTTCCTATTTGGGATTATGTATATGCTTTATCTTTTAAGACTGTTTTTTTTCAAAGCTTTGTTTGATGCCAGTGTTTCCTGTATCATATCTACTGAACTATTTCTTGTCATGATTTTAAATCTGCATTTAACCCAAGAATGATCTGAAAGTAAGTCTGATTTTGAGGTGGCTATGTTTTAAAATTACATTTTTACAATTTTAATTAAAATGATAAAGGATTTTGAAAGTCTGATAGTAATCTTTGTTGAGTGCTACTGTAATGTTAACCCTGCCTGCTTTATATGTTTCCAAATGACTAACAGTTGAAAACATTTGTTAGGAAGTTAGAAAAGTAATCAAAAATTAATAAAATGTAATCAGTTACATTACTTTAATAAAGTAACTGAAATAATTACACTGTACTTATTACATTTTAAATAGGGTAACTTGCAATCTGTAACCTGATACATTTCCAAAGTGATCTTTCCAACACTGCAGATCAAATGTACATTAACGATGCTGTAAAGTATGAAAATATTCCTGTTTAATATGCACAGAAAATGTGCTTGTTGTGACCGACTGCTGTTTAGTAGATGTAGATGTGTTGTGCATTTCGGATGAATCAGCAGATTTGCAGAGGTTTCTGTGTATCTGTGCAGGTCAAATGCCTGAGTGTTGTGGCTTATAAATGAAGAGTGCGTAAAGAAGAAAGAATGACAGAGACACACAGAAAGGCTTTGTTAGTTTTTTTGGGTCACTTTCATCCACAGTGTCAGCAGAGAGATGACAGGAAGTGAGGCAGGAGGAGCTGAAGAGGGACAAACAGGAAAAGGAAATTAACGGTGCCAAACCTGTGCAGTTGACAGGAGGACCGTGACTGGACTACTCCAGCTCAATCACTCAACTCAACCACAGGAGTCTGCACAAAGAAACAGAAGCTGCTCTATGTTCGGCATTAGCCATTGCTTTTTAATGTGTTAAATAGAGGTGTTTTTTCAGCTTCTCGTCATGTGTCAGAGCCGCAAATGTTGCTTGCAAATATTTTGATTAAATATTGCATCACATACGTGTTCGTTAAATTAATCTTATCTTGAGATATTGTTATCAGCAAGAAACAAGTATCGGTCAACCACTAGTTTCAATAAAAAAATTACCTGCCCGTCATATTATCAGAGAAGAGAGAATTCTGGGTTGTGGTGCACTGAAACATTTCATCACAAAGACAGTACTGCATAAAATAGAGTGAAAGGCGTCGAGGTAGGATATGTAAAGACACATGTGTGAGATCTGTGATGGCCTGTAAACAGTCCCGCGAGCATCATTAGCACTCGGAGTGTGAGTCCTGCTTCACATCATTTCACCTGCTGCTCCCTTCATTTACACCCTCAGCGAAGCGAGACACAGAGACAGAAAGAGAACGTGTGAGCAGAGCACACAAATCACATGCTGTTCTTAAACACATTCAACTGCAGACGTGAGTTCACACTCACACACACACACACACACACACGCACACACACACACACACATACACACACATACACTCACACACACACACACACACACACACACACACACACACACACACACACACACACACACACACACACACACACACACACACACACACACACACACTCACTCGCACACACTTACAGCTGTCTGTTAACATTAGCACCTAGATGACATCAGTTGCTGCAAATGACTATGATTAAATAAAATATGTTTTTTCTCTAGAATAACATCTGCTGCTGAAGCGTGCACAATAAAAGCTGTGAGCTGTGTTGGTTAGATCAGTGTCGTGTTTGTGCAGTGGATCTGTCTGAACCTCTGCTCTATATCTGAGCACTCCTGTAAAATATGAAGGAAGCCAACACAAGCTCAGTGCGGCTCTCCTGTCTGTTTCACATGTGTGTGGTGATCAATCCTCAGGGAAAAGCACTACAGCATATTTACCCCTTATACTGTCTTATTAAATCATGTTTGTTTAAGTCAAACCCAAACCGATCCCTTCTGTTTTTTATGACTTGTTAGCTGGTTATAGAACAATATTATAAAATACTAATGCTTTATAGCAGAAATGTAAAACTGTACATTTGATGTGTCACGTAACTTGCCAACATAAAAAGACTAAACTACAGTAGACAGCAATTTATTACAGAAGTAATGTGGACCTCATAGCTCAGATAATGTCACGAATTCGGTCCATAGACTTCCGTTTATTCACCACCAGAGGTCACCCTTTCATTACATTGACTCTCGCACAACACAAATTGTTGCATTTGTGGACTACATATCCCTGGACTACATATCCCATCATTCTTTGCACCATTTGCACACTGCACTGATTGCACTCATTGCACACAGCTGTTTCTAATCACCTCACTCACTATATAACACCCACTCTAACCACCTTTCTCGGCTGAGTATTGTTTAGCCTGTACCCCTTTCCGAGTCTCCGTGTTTTCCTTGTTTTGCCTTGCCTGTTTTTGCGGTTTCTGATCTTTGCCTGTTTTCTTGGATTTCTCCCTCTCGTCTCGCCCCTGTGATTCTGTCTGCTGATCGGTGACCTACGCTAGCCCTGGGACTATTCTTGTGTTTTGCCCGTCATATACCTGTTTGCCATTGTTTTGACCCTGCCTGTTTACCACGTCTCTTTAATAAAGCCTGCAGATGGATCCACACATCTCACGTCTCGTCAGCCACGCTACAGATAAGAAGATAAATGTTTAATTTTAAGCTGACTCAAAATTTAGTATTGATGAATCTGAGCAGAGTTACACACATTGTTGAAACTCTAGAAGAGTTTTAAAGGGGTCATATGAATTTGCTAAACATTATTTTGTGTATTTGGTGTAATGAAATGTGTTTATGTGGTTTAAGGTTCAAAAAACACATTATTTTCCACATACTGTACATTATTGTTTCTCCTCTATGCCCCGCCTTTCTGAAACGCGTCGATTTTTACAAAGCTCATCGGTCTGAAAAGCGAGGTGTGCTATGATTGGCCAGCTATCCAGTGCGTTGTGATTGGCCGAATACCTCAAGCGTGTGACGGAAATGTTACGCCCCTCACCATACTGTGATGATGCCCTGTCCGGCCGGTGCGATGATTCAAAAACATGAAAATTTGGAAGACCAAACAAAGTAGTTTCGCTTTCACAACAAAACCCACGGCGGGCTAGAGTGAGCAGAGGCAGGTGGGCTTGAGAACGGCGCGGCCGGCGGATTCGATGAAGGAGCGTCCGGAGGGCTTGCGGTAACCACATGTGACGACTCCGGGCTGGACTCTGCTTCATCCACAGTGAAAGCCGATCCAGTGATGGCACCAAGAGCTTGTAACACTCCAAAGAGAAAGGAACAATTGAAATCGCATCATATGACCCCTTTAAGGAACTGTTCTACTGAGTCATTATTCAATCATATCAGTGTTGTTCTAAAGCCACTGGCCTTTTTTCTTTGTCTTAATAATATAGCATGCTTTGTTTCCTGCCCAGAAAACAAAAGAAGCTTCTACAGCTTCAGAAGAATGTCAGGCTGAATAAACAATGACTGGATTTTCATTTAGAGAGAACTGAACTATCTCTACAGAAGAAACATCTGAGAAAAAGGAGTTAAATTCTCTGTCTAACCTTACTGCTGCTCATGATAACCTTCTGATAGGTGTGTGTGTGTGCGGTACCTTCTGTATTTGTGGGCAGTGTGTGTGTGTGTGTGTGTGTGTGAGAGTGAGTGTGTGCATGTTTATGTGGTTTATGAGGACACAAATTTGTATAATAACATGGGTATGACATAGGTATTACAACGAGAAGGTGATTTATGAGGACATTTTCAGTCTCTCCGTAATTCAAAAGGCTTATAAATCATTCAGAATGAGTTTTTTTGAAAATCTAAAAATGCAGAAAGTTTCCTGTGAGGGGTAGGTTTAGGGGTAGGGTTGTTGTAGGGCAATAGAAAATACGGTTTGTACAGTATAAAAACCATTACGCCTATGGAGAGGCCATAAACCATAAAAACAAACCTGTGTGTGTGTGCGGTACCTTCTGTATGTTTGGGTCCGGGTCTGAAATAGCACAAAGTCTCCTGTGAGGGGTAGGTTTAGGGGTAGGGTTGGTGTAGGACAATAGAATATACGGTCTGTACAGTATAAAAACCATTACGCCTATGGGATGCACCCACTTTTCACAAAAACAAATCTGTGTGTGTGTGCGGTACCTTCTGTATGTGTGGGTCTGGGCAGCGTGTGGTGATGGCGTGGCACTGATCCCGCTGCTGACAGCTGTTTTCACACCAGACACACATGTGGCCCTGCGTCTGACGGCCCCAACACTGAGAGCAGTCGCTGTCGCCCGCGCTGCAGCTATACACCTCCACTGCACACACACACACACACACACACACACACATTACACATCTGTCTTTTGAGGCTCTTCCAGAGGTCTGAAGCACTGCTTTAACCCAGTCAGGGTCAGGCAGGGCCATCTGCGGGTGAACTGGGGACACACAGGCTGCTACACGGGCACATGACCGCATCAACACACTACAGGCCTGCGGGACAGTCTGTGTATCTGATAATATCTGTGTTAAAACACCAGCGTCATCGCTGCTGCTCACTGGGCTACTCACTCTAACAGTCAGTGAACTCTCAAACAACACGTCTGAAAACTTTAACCAATAATGAAAAAAAAACAGGATGTGCTGGAATTTCTCTTTGAATGAAATTCAATTATTACATGTGCATTATTACACATTATTACACAATGAGTTCATTCATTTGTCACACTGCAGGACCATTAAAGTCAACTCTTTTAGACAAAGGTAATTACAGTATAAAATCAGTACCTAAAATTTACACATTCCCTCAAACAAAAAAAAGGTGAACAGAATTTTCACTCAGAAATCGCAAGTCAAGTTCACAATTAATTACTAAGAAATGGTAATTAACATATTAAATTGCATGTCAATCTTTGAAGCACTGAAACATAATTTTTTGGTTAAATATACACTAATAATCTTGGTTTTATTCTAAAATAAAACAAATCTTTATTTTATTCTACTTCTAAAACATGTATTACAATACACCTTCATATACATTTTTTACTTAAAATCTTGATGTTGATTAGCTGATGTTGACAAAATCTATAAAAGAAAAAAAGTTCCCCTTCAGGAACTCGAGCTGCGTCGAACGCTATGGGAACAACTTCAGCGTGACCACGCTCTGAATCATATGTGTAATCAGTCCAATAGATGGGTGAGACGTCACGGGCGGGCGATGTAGTGACCATAAAGCTATAAAAGCATGTGCGGTGGAACCGGCATCAGCTTTCTGTCATTCAGCAAGCGCTCAGTGTTGTGTCAGTCATACTCTCTGTTTTTGAGTCTTATTTAGTGTTGTTTGTCCCAGTAAGCTCCACTATGTCTAAGGCTGAGGCTATGACAAAACATTTGAAGGGCGAAAGCAGATCGCGTTATAGGCTGTGTGTTCCACCCTGCCTGCGTTACATCACGAGTGGGGATACACACAGTCTGTTCGTGGTCTGCTTGGGAGCGAACCATGCAGAGTCGGCTCTTGAGGGCGAGACCCTATCTTCTTCCTCACCTGCCAGATCCAGCGCCCACTCTCTGAGATCGGAAGCCCGTTCTGCGGTTTCTTTCCCCCGGGGAGCGGTCTCGATGCTTCGTCTGTCTTCCTCAGAGGAGGTTGTCGTGGAGGATTCGCACCCCTCAATCGCCCCAGAATGAGGATCTGTTGGAGGTGGTAACTCGCGCTGTAGCCAAGTTAAACATCGACTGGCCGGCTGAGAAACAAGCCGAACCGCAGAAAATTTAATCAGATGAATGCTTTCTGTGGACAAGGCCACCACCTCCACACCGGAGCCTGCCTTTTTTCCCTGATCTCCACACCGAGATGTCGAGGTGTCAGACTATTATGGCAATGTTGAATGAGCATGGTTACAGGGTGATGCCCCGGGTTGAACAGATACTCGCAAGCTATCTGTCCCCCGGTGCGGCATCGTCCCTGAAGGCTCCGGCATTGCCCTCCAAGCCGCTGCGAACATCTTCAGCGCTGCTGGGTAAGGTGTATGTGGCAGCAGGTCAGGCTGGGGCGTGTCTGCACACCATGGCGGTGTTACAGGCGTACCAAGCCGACCTGCTTAAAGAGCTGGATGAAGGCGAGGAGATTAATTCTGATAATATAGCTTAGGATAACCACTGACCTTTCTCTCACCAAGGAGACCGCCCGCGCTATTGGTCGGTCTATGGCAGCTATGGTGGCAGCGGAGACGTACCAGCTCCTCGTACAGGGATGCCCAAAAACAGAGCGTCACCTCTCGCACTCTCCGCGTCGGGACCAGGGGTCTAAACGGCGCTCTGGGTCGGGGGCTTCAAAGCCTAAGCCAGATCTAAGAACTATTCTGGAGGCTAAGAAGTCCTTGATGAAGAAGTCCTGACGCCAATGCTTCACTGTATTACACTGTGCTTGTCTCTCCTCAGTGCCCTCAGGAGATCGTTCGCACCCTGCCGGTGCTCCAGGGCGCAGCGGTCTCCCGGGAGCGCTTCTCTCAGCTACCGCCCGGAAACGTTGCGGTACTAAGAGGCTTGCTACCTCTACTGAGCTCTCTAGAGCAGCTAGTTCGGCTGTCCCCTGCCGGTGCGCCGCTTCAGGGCACCGAGCTAGCTGCTCTGATTACACCAGAGGTCAGTCTCGAGAGACTCCCGTAGTAGACTATTTTACAGCATGGAAACTACTGCCAAATTTGTCTCAGTGGGTCCTGCAAACTGTAGAGAGGGGTTACAGGATCCAGTTTGGTCTCCAAACAGGGGCTACGGAATCCAGTCTCCTCTGCCTCCTTTCAATGGGGTCCTTTCCACCCTGGTGGGCCCCGAGCAGGCTCTGGTAATAGAACAAAAAGTGAATACTCTTGAGGAAGGAGGCCATCGAGGTTCTACAGGAAGAGAGTCCGGGTTCTACAGCCGGTACTTTATAGTTCCAAAGAAGGATGGAGGGTTGCGTCCGGTTTTAGATCTGCATCAGTTAAACCGCTCAGTCATGCAACTGAAGTTCAGCATGCTCACACTCAAACAAGTTGTGTCTCAGATCAGGTCCGAAGACTGGTTTGTCACGATTGATCTAAAAGACGCATACTTCCACGTCGCCATCCTTCCCAGACACAGATAGTTCCTGAGGTTTGCTTTCGGGGGTAAAGGTCTGATGGCAGTGGTGTCCAATGTGATACCTTTTGGCCTGCTGTACATGAGGCCCCTACAGTGGTGGCTCAAGACCAAGGGGTTCTCCCCGAGGGGAAACCCGCTTCGCATGATCAAGGTCATGCTGCGCTGCCTTTCGTGCCTTAGACATGTGGAAGAAACCTTGGTCCTTGTCTCAGGGCCCAGTGCTGGGAGCTCCTTGTCGCTGCATAACGCTAGAGATGGATGCGTCCCTCACCGGTTGGGGTGCGGTCATGAGTGGCCACCCTGCCCGCGGTCTGTGGAGCGGTCGCCATCTAACTTGGCACATCAACTGCCTGGAGATGCTGGCCATGTTTCGTGCACTGAAACACTTTCTCACAGACCTAAGAGACTGTCATGTGTTGGTGCGCACTGACGACATCGGTGGTCTCTTATATCAACCACCAAGGAGGTCTGCGTTCGCGCCCCTTATACAAGCTGGTGCACCAGATCCTTGTGTGGGCCCAAGGGAAGCTCCTTTCTATAAGAGAGGTTTACATCCCTGGCCATCTCAATATGGGAGCAGACATACTGTAGAGGCAGGGGCCGAGGCCCGGGGAGTGGAGGCTTCATCCCGAGGTGGTGAAGCAGATATGGAGAATTCTTGGCCAGGCTCAGGTGGACCTGTTTGCGACTCATACGACATCGCACTGTCCCCTCTGGTTCTCTGTGACTATGGTACAGACGTGGCCGAGGCTTCGTCTGTACGCCTTTCCCCCCGATCGCTCTGCTAATCATTATTATTATTATTACTGGTAGTAGCCCCACTCTGGCAAGGCCAAGTATGGTTCTCGGACCTGGTTTCTCTCCTTGATGGCTCTCCATGGGAGATTCCCTTCAGGAGGGATCTCCTCTCACAGGCGGAGGGCATGATATTCCACCCCCGCCCGGAGCTGTGGAAGTTATGGGTGTGGCCCCTGAGGGGACACAAATCATAGCTTCCGGTCTCTCAACCGAGGTTGTTGAGACCATCCTCCAAACTAGAGCTCCCTCTATGAGAAAACTGTATGCCCTGAAGAGGAAACTTTTCACTTCTTGGTGTGGAGACCGCCAGCTCGACCCAGCTAACTGCCCGATTGGTACAGTTCTGGAGTTCCTGCAGGCCCCATTCTCCACAGGGTTGACCCACTCCACCCTAAAGGTATACATGGCGGCCATTACGGCCTACCATGCCCCTGTTGGCGGCCAGTCAGTGGGCAGACACCCCCTAGTTACACGTATCCTCCGTGGTGCGCTGAGGCTGAGGCCTCCGGTACGATCTCACATCCCCACGTGGGACCTGGCTGTGGTGCTATAAGCTCTCTGTAAGCCTCCCTTTGAGCCTATTGAAGAAATTTCTGATCGCTATCTCACTATAAAGACTACCTTCCTTCTGGCGATTTCTTCTCTAAAGAGAGTTGGGGATCTGCAGGCCCTCTCAGTGGCCCCTTCCTATTTCGACTTTGCGCCTGGTCTGGCCAAAGCTTTTCTCTACCCTCGAGCGGGTTATGTTCCTAAAGTCCCCTCCTCTGCACCACAGCCTGTCGTACTCCAGGCCTTCTGTCCTCCTCCCTTCCGGGAGTCCGACCAGCAGAAGCTTAATTGTATGTGTCCAGTGCGAGCATGCGTATGTCCACAGAGCTGCCCTGTGGAGAAGGGCAGACCAACTGCCTGTTTGCTATGGTCCCCCTAAGAGAGGTCTTCCTGCTACAAAACAGACCCTCAGTTGGTGGATAGTGGATGCCATTTCCATTTCTTAGGAGTCCTCTGATCTCCCCTCGCCTCTGGGCGTCAAGGCTCACTCAACTAGGAGTGTGGCGGTCTCTAAGGCCTTTCTAGCAGGTGTGTCTATGCAGGACATCTGCAATGATGTGGGTTGGTCCACGCCCCTCACGTTCGTCAGGTTCTATGGCCTAGATATGCGAGCCACTCCGGGCTCTTCTGTTCCCATAGCATTCGACGCAGCTCGAGTTCCTGAAGGGGAACGTCTCCAGGTTACGCATGTAACCATGGTTCCCTGAAGGGAACGAGACGCTGCGTCTCAGTGCCATACTTCTGGCATCCCTGCAAGCGCTTGCTTCATTCCTAGAAGCTGACGCCGGTTCCACCATACGTGCTTTTATAGCTTCCTTGTCGCTACGTCACCAGGCCGTGACGTCTCGCCCATCTATTGGACTGATTACACATGTGATTGAGAGCGTGGTCATGCTGTAGGCGTTCCCATATCGTTCGACGCAGCGTCTTATTCCCTTCGGAGAACCATGGTTACATGCGTAACCTGGAGACATTTTCTGTTATAGTATTTGTAACTAGCTGTATATAAAGCCATGGAAGTCTATGGAATGCCCCCATTCAGACTGTGTGTGTGTGTGTGTGAGTGTGCGTGTGTGTGTGTGTGTGTTGTGATGAGTCAGTGTCAGCAGCAGACAGTCTGATGATGATGAGGCACATGCTCAGCATTAATGTGATTACAACACGGATTTCACACACATCCTTAAGGACACCAGCGAACCGTCTGTTATCAGTGCATCTGTGAGTGTGTGTGTGTGTTTATGTGTGAGTGTGTGTGTGTGTGTGAGCAAGCTGATACCTGTCATTGGCTCTGGACTGTCTATATATGTGCTGGTTCCTCTTCTCCGCAGATTCAGTTGGAATTTCTTGCTCCACATTGTAGTTTTTAGCTGCACAAACACATAAACACTCTTATTCATCAGTAAATCAAAGATCTGAGTTGCAGTTGCAAACATATTACAAGGTAAAATCTCCTAAAGGTAACAGAAAACCAGCTGTATGATGTGTTTAGGAGTGAATCAGACTGGAGCTACTCTGTCGGTGTGAGTGCAAGTCAATCTGATGGGAACTTACGGTCACTCCACTGCAGTTCACCGCCAGTCCGTCCAGCCACTGAGCTCTGTAAAGCTGCCCATCGCCCAAATCACAGTCCAGCTCAGCGCCCTGCACACACACACACACACACACAGAGAGAGAATGTGATGAGCGGAGCCACAGCTATGTCCAATCCCATCAGAGCATCCCGAGGGACTCGAGGCATGCTCAGACAACATCACAAGATCACATCAGACAGATCTCAGTCCTCACAGAGCAAACCCTTACAAACCACAACATCACATCACACTCCTGATACTCCAGTACAGAGCTCAGAAACCCCTCTTCCCCTCTAGAGTCATTCCCACTCTGTGTGCAGCTGAAAACATGCTCAGAATGCACTCAGACGTCATGATGAAGAGCCGCACACACACATCTGGTAGCCATAACGCAGACCCACACGGAGAGGAAGCGCTGCAAGGCCTTCATTAGCCACAGCACAACAGTCTGTGAGAGATTCAGCATTTAGCTGTTAGCGGCAGCGAGCTCAATCTAAGACGTGTGCTTCTGACCTGCTGACCTGATCTGGGCCTCTGTGATGGCACTGGCTGCTTCATGTCTTTGAAAGTGGACTACATTACTCTACAGCTTGCAGAAGAGCATGTCTTATCATTTCTACCTCATTTCTGATGCACAGAAGAACCCAAAGTTTGGGACGGCAGATCTACCACAGAAAATAACACAGTACCCAGTTGAAAAACCAGTATTTGTTGGTTAGGTGTGTTTTGAAGCATGAAAGCCATTTTGAGCTGGTCCTGAGCAGGAGCTAGATGCTTAGGACCAGCTCAAACAAGCTCAAATCAGCTGCCATGCTGCAAAACATACCTAACCAACATATGCTGTTTTTTTTCAACAGGGTCATCCCTCAATTTGCAAGAATCAGCAGAAAACACTCTGAGAGTAACATACTTTCAGTGAAAGTCTATTGGGGAATACAGAGTGAACGTCTGTGAACATGTTTTTCTCTTGTTTGTCTGCACTGTGTTGCAGATGTAGAGTATTCCAGCATCTACTCAGCACAGGCTCCTCAAACACCATGCTATTTTATACAGACAGTTTGAAGAGTGAGCGAACAGGGTCAAAAGAGCCGTGCAAACCACAGCCCATCAATACTGAGACAGAGCTCTGACAGGAGCCACATCTGTGTGTGTGCGTGTTCTGGTTTATATGGTTTATGAGGACACAAATGTACATAATGACATTGGTACTACAATGTAAACATGCATCCCCGTAAACCAGAAGGCTTAAAAATATGAAATTCAACAAATACCTGTAGTTGTGTGTGAGGGGAGGTTTAGGTGTAGGGTTGGGGTAAGAGGATAGAAAATACAGTACAGTAGAAAAACCATTACGCCTATGGAGAGTCATAAACCACATATGCAAGAGTGTGTGTAAGTGTGTGTGAATAGACACTCGAGTCCTACATGGTCTATGTTCTTGAGCTCCAGGGAGAAGACATGAGTGTTTCCAGAGGGCAGTGGAGGAACATCATCGGCCAGCATACTGGGACAGAACGAGGAATTCTGGGACAGAAACAAGAGGTGAGAACAAATGAGATTCAACCAAACAATAGTGAGTGGTGTTTAGAGAGCTATGAATGCAAGCAGTCTGCATTGTGTGTGTGTGTGTTCAGTTATTTATGGCAGTACAAGCACAATCACACCACATTCTGCGCCTCACTGTGTTTTTATGGAGAGATGGAGTGTTAGCATATGAGAAAAACACAACAAATCTTCTTTTTACCTGCTGCGTGTCGACCAAAACGTCTTTTGAATTGCCACATATTTCCCAGCAGTCTGTTTTTACACTTCACAATTCAGCAATGCATGTTATTTTCAAGCTCAAAATGAGAGAGACATGCAGCTGTTTTGAAATCACATGGAAAGCATTATTTTGTGCTGTATAAACAAACTAAACTTCCTCTTCTTTCCAGCCATAACAATTATTGAAACTAAACTGTTAAACTTCTGAAATCATCATGGTTATGAGGTGTAGATATGGCCATCTTTAGTTGTATATCAAGATCTAGGCAACTAGAGATATTTCTACAGCAGTTACATCACAGTAAATATATATATATTTATATATCCATGGGCAGCAGTGCTTTGTGAAAACAGAGAGGGGTTATGGAGATCTCAAATCTGTTCACTGATCTGTTGGATACTGTCACTGCAAGTACATGAATGCAAATTCTTCTTTGTGTTGTTGCATTGTGACGTGTGTCGCACTGAAGTTCATCATGCGGTGTAATGTGTTGTGCACTCAGCCTGTTTCATTCTGAGGGTCAGATATGGGAATATGAGCTCATTGTCAGTGTTTTCAGTAAGTGGGCTGATGCTGAGTCAAACAGTCAAACTGTCTCACACGCAGCGTTCCTCTTTCCTCAGAATCAGTCCTGCATGTCTACACAATCTGTTTCATTCTTGACAGAGACATAAAGCCCTGTTGCGATACTTTAAGGAATCATAGAAGGCTGCTCCAAAAGGTAGGCAGAGTAATTACATGAAGACAATCCCAGAGTGCAATGTCAACAAATGGATGAAGTGGGAGAAATGTTGCTGTATGACAGAAGAGGAATGGTCGAGGGATCACATTCATTATCTCATCTGATGTGTATAAGAAAAACAAATCCCTTTAGGGATTTTAGCTCATTTTAGCACTTATCTATGTGTAAACTTCTCTGTTTCACCATCATTTGTTCACATGACTGTCATTTAAAGAGCATTTTCATTGGTCTAATCAAAAATCACAGTTTTCAGTTTAAACCTGGTTTAGTTCCGTTTGTTTAAAAGCAAGTAACAGGGACCAGCTTTACTGACTCTTATTCTGGTTTCTGGTGAACAGAAAATATGATACAAATTTTTAAAAAATACATCACAATATACATTAAGGCAGGGGTACTTAACAGGCATTAATTTTGCATTCATTTTGTGGCCCGCGTCATGTAATTAATGTATTTTTATTACAATTTGCGCTCAAAATATTAGGCAGTTTGATTTTTTAAATTAGATGTACACAATCGCAGTTGTAAAAGCTGCTCGGTCTCTGCAAGAGCTGTAACCAACGTGCAATTAAAAAGCGACATGTGGCACGCGGCACGCCCCAAACAACTTAAAAAGAAGCGTTGTCCAACAAAAGAGGACATTTAATATGCAGCTGTTTTGAAATCACATGGAAAGCATTATTTTGTGCTGTATAAACAAACTAAACTTCCTCTTCTTTCCAGCCATAACAATTATTGAAACTAAACTGTTAAACTTCTGAAATCATCATGGTTATGAGGTGTAGATATGGCCATCTTTAGTTGTATATCAAGATCTAGGCAACTAGAGATATTTCTACAGCAGTTACATCACAGTAAATATATATATATTTATATATCCATGGGCAGCAGTGCTTTGTGAAAACAGAGAGGGGTTATGGAGATCTCAAATCTGTTCACTGATCTGTTGGATACTGTCACTGCAAGTACATGAATGCAAATTCTTCTTTGTGTTGTTGCATTGTGACGTGTGTCGCACTGAAGTTCATCATGCGGTGTAATGTGTTGTGCACTCAGCCTGTTTCATTCTGAGGGTCAGATATGGGAATATGAGCTCATTGTCAGTGTTTTCAGTAAGTGGGCTGATGCTGAGTCAAACAGTCAAACTGTCTCACACGCAGCGTTCCTCTTTCCTCAGAATCAGTCCTGCATGTCTACACAATCTGTTTCATTCTTGACAGAGACATAAAGCCCTGTTGCGATACTTTAAGGAATCATAGAAGGCTGCTCCAAAAGGTAGGCAGAGTAATTACATGAAGACAATCCCAGAGTGCAATGTCAACAAATGGATGAAGTGGGAGAAATGTTGCTGTATGACAGAAGAGGAATGGTCGAGGGATCACATTCATTATCTCATCTGATGTGTATAAGAAAAACAAATCCCTTTAGGGATTTTAGCTCATTTTAGCACTTATCTATGTGTAAACTTCTCTGTTTCACCATCATTTGTTCACATGACTGTCATTTAAAGAGCATTTTCATTGGTCTAATCAAAAATCACAGTTTTCAGTTTAAACCTGGTTTAGTTCCGTTTGTTTAAAAGCAAGTAACAGGGACCAGCTTTACTGACTCTTATTCTGGGTTCTGGTGAACAGAAAATATGATACAAATTTTTAAAAAATACATCACAATATACATTAAGGCAGGGGTACTTAACAGGCATTAATTTTGCATTCATTTTGTGGCCCGCGTCATGTAATTAATGTATTTTTATTACAATTTGCGCTCAAAATATTAGGCAGTTTGATTTTTTAAATTAGATGTACACAATCGCAGTTGTAAAAGCTGCTCGGTCTCTGCAAGAGCTGTAACCAACGTGCAATTAAAAAGCGACATGTGGCACGCGGCACGCCCCAAACAACTTAAAAAGAAGCGTTGTCCAACAAAAGAGGACATTTAATAACATGATTTTACTCCACAACATCAGTCGAGTGTTTGAAATAACTTTTGTGATATGATGTGTGTTTTTTGTCACAGAACGAGGCAGATAATATATTCTATATGGTAATAAAGGCTATGTCGATTAGCATTAGATTATCAATGTATATCAATATACTTTATGTGACGAGTGGGGGCGGGGCCGAGAGCCGTGGGAACGGAGCGAGGTCGGTGGAGTAATTGCTAATGAGCGACACCTGCACCACTCACCGGTCTCGAGTCTCACGGAGGAGCTCCGGAAGGATAAAAGGGAGGAGTGACGACCGTGTTGAACGAGAGAGGACCAGGCCTGGATTTTATTTTGTGTTTTGGTTTTGTTTGTGTGCGACAGTCGTCTGTGTGGGGCTGTCGCGCAATTTTGTGTTTATTTTATTATTATTTTATTATTTTCTTTAAATGTTCGCCGGTTCCCGCCTCCTTCTTCCCGAACTACGAACTTTGTTACATTGGTGCCGAAACCCGGGAGGAAGGAGGGACATGCTGTCAGAGAGCCCTCGCTACTGAGGGGGATCGCGGTGCTGAGGAGATCGGGCAGCAGGAACAAGCGGAGAGACCGCAGGTGGCTGCCCGAGGCGGTGGTGCTGGAACGATGGAAGACGAGGCAGGACGGAGAGCTCGCTGCCGCGCTCCTGGGTTGAGGAGGGGTGGCTGCCGTCCGTGAGGGAGCGGAGGAGTCGGCCCCGTTCGCCAGGAGGCCGGAGCCTGCTGCCATCCACCATGATTGGGGAGGAGCAGGGAACGGGGGACTCGCTGCCGGCTGCCCTCAATAGGAGGAGCCATCGCCGTCCGCCAGGAGAGTCGTGGGAATGGAGCGAGGCCGGTGGAGTAATTGCTAATGAGCGACACTTGCACCACTCAGTCTCATGGAGGAGCTCCAGATGGATAAAAGGGAGGAGTGATGACCGTGTTGAACGAGAGAGGACCAGGCCTGGATTTTATTTTGTGTTTTGGTTTTGTTTGTGTGCGACAGTCGTCCGCGAGGGGCTGTCGCGCTATTTGGTATTTATTTTATTATTAAAGTTTTCTTTAAATATTCGCCGCTTCCCGAACTACGAACTTTGTTACATTTCATTACTATGAAAATACCAGAGATGGCTTGAAGAACACAGCTAAACCATATATTGTCACGTCGTATGTTTACTGTCGTATATTGTTGGATAATTAATTAAATAGCCAGATCGCGAACAGATTCAATCACCCATGCAGCTACGTTATGTCTATTAAAGCCTTAATCACACTCAAATCTGCGTTCGCGCTGCCGCTGATCCAGATAGAGCATTTATATGAACCATCTTTATAAAGTCTTTTGTATCATTATTTCTGTGTTACAAACATTCAAATAATCACAGAAGTACTGGAATAAAAGTTTATAGTCCAGATATAGACACTGCTGTCTGTCTACAGAAGCGATCAAAATAGAATAAATAGGGCTGGGTAAAAAATGTTGATATTTCGATATTAATCGATTCTCCTTTTTACGGAACGATATCGATTCCTAAATCCCAAGAATCGATTAGTCTCGCCTGTTTTCAGTTAATGGATGGAACATGGAAGGGTACTTCCCATTCAATAAATCGCAATAAGCATGGTTCTTTGGTACTTTTCATATGAAACAAAGTCTCAGATTTCAAATTCTGTCCGTTGTATTGCAGTATTCAAACAATAAATGCCGTTTTGGCGCTGTTTAATGTGGAGTGACAGATCGCTGTAGTGCCTCAGTTCAACAGACGCAGCAGCACGAGGCGCACATGAACAGATCATCTCCTCCACATTAATACCAGTTTCAGCACAAAATAAACATGACTAAACATCCGAAGGTAAGTTAAAAGAAAGAGTACAACTTTACAATCTGTATCCTGTCTTGTGTAATCGCTCAATCAGTGTTTCAGCCGC